CACCCGGTTACCATGGCGAGCCAGCCTCCCTCCCTCAGCTATGTTGGGTGCAACTTTTTGCGGCAGCGGCTAGTGCTCTCCACGCTGAGCGGGCGGCCGGTGAAAATCCGCAAGATCAGGGCCAAGGATGACAACCCCGGCCTCAGAGGTTGGTTGGTCTGGGGCTGCGAGGCGGCCCCCTGGAGATGATTTGGGGGTGGGGATGGCGGGGAGGAAGGAAGGAGGCGGGCGGTGCTGAGAGTGGCTGTTGGAGGCTCGCCTGCTGGAAGGAGACTGGCGGGTGGATTGAATTCCCGTGGAGGCAACAGCAGCCGGTGGCGCACCTGAATCGGCGTGAAAAAGACGGAGCCGGCCCTTTGATTTTGCCCGCGGTAGCCAGGGAGAAGAAACCGCGTTGCTATGCTGCTGCGCTGCCTGATTTCTCTAACGCAAAAGACTCCGCAAGGAGGTTGTGTGCTGGCATGAAAAAGAGCTCGGTTCAGTCCACTGGGTTGTTAGTGGTCTGCCTAAGGGACCATAGGGCAAAGTGCCAGTACCACCCTGCCAATGCTTAGGCTCCATATCCCTGTTCATACATCAGGCTTCAGAGAATGTCAAGTGTGTGTGTGCTTTTTAAAAATTTCCTTCAAATTAGAACACAGTAATGGCTTTTTCAACCTTTCTCTGAACCATCTGTGCAGCAGCAGGCTGCCTGGGTGAGATGTCCCTGGGACTACAGTAGTCTTTGCTGCTCCCAAGAGAACAACCTGCCTAAAATTAACACACTGAATCAAACAAGTTAATTAAGGAAATCCTTTGGTAGTAGATTCAAGATCACCTTTAAAAAGAGTTGTAGCTCCCCCCTGCCCCCATTCCTCCCTGAGAATAAAAGGCAGTATTTCTTGGGGACCCAGGATGCTGTTTTTTACTTACATATATCATGCTAAACCAAAGATTCTCAAACCATGGTTTGTTAACTAAGTTGTAATGTTAGATTCACACATCACTAAACCATATAACTTAGTGTGATGGTGTCATTGAATCTGCTGGGCACAGTGTAATGCATTCAGTTACAGGACCACAGCTTCACAGGGTTTCATACAGGAGTTTGTTTGTTTTTTTGTCCTGTCTGAAGAGGTTAAGGCATGTAGTTGAGACATTCAGAATTCAAAAAGAATTATTCCACCAATGACCTTGAACTCTTCCATTAATTATTCTTTCTCTACGTTGCCTCATGCAATGAAAAATATGGTATGTAGATTCTTTACACAAG